GCACGGAATCTCCATATATTGATCACCTCTTTAAATTTACCACTTTGGTTTAGTCCCTTGAGCGGCCTATTTATCGAAGTTGTATTGTATTTGCACTTCTGCTTGAAAGAGACGGTAGTACGTAATGTAAATAAGACGGTGTTAATATAGGGGCAAAATCGCGATCAGTTAGAAGATGGTCTCGTGTTCAGGGCGACCGAAGGAAGAAATATAACCAGCAATCAACTTAAACCTAAAGCATGGAAAGTTTGGACTAGTGGGACCTCAGGTTTATATTGTGGCTGAGTTGTAACCGATAGCGACGGTCCTGATCGGGGTTCGCAGGTTTTAGGTGCAATATAATGAGATCTCCTCGCAGACACTCGCATTCACCGCCACGAAAGCCAAGGCAATGGGTGGGGGGGATTTTGAACCAAACACCTGATGCTTTTGGTCACTCTAAGCTGTGGAGCTTTAAGCACATAACCATCCCTTTTGATTCATAGATGTTAGGTTTAGATAACATGTTGCGCCTGAGGCCTCAAGTAGTCGTATTGTATTTGCAAAATTATGGAGGACTCAAAGTCCCGAATGTCCTTCGTAGGAGACCACAGTGTTGGTTGGTTATTCTGTGCATCTTTTAAGTCCTGTTTCTGGTAGCTAATTTCATCCTACACAATAACTGGAATCGTCTTCCTATGTAGCAGGTTGTACAGGCTGCTCTGGAAGTCGGTATTCCTGTTAATGCTGAGTGTATATGCTCACGAGTTTGTAGTTCGTCACGTAGTACTGGAGCCGGTCGTCGGATGTCCAAGTTCAGGCCCTATCCAGTTCCCACCGTTGTGAAGTATGATGGTCCAGTGTCATGATGTTATGTCAGAGATACTATAAATCTTAGTGGGTATGATCAGAGTATAGTCGCAGGAACGTTGGCTAGGAATAAACTTGATCTCAGTACTGATCATTTGGGCAAGTCAAACTGGACCACAAGAACCTCCTACTCAGTGCTAAGCGACTTTAACAATACAAGCTGTAGGATGACGTCTGACAAGTATTCGCGAATAAATTTCTTGCAATTTTCAATCCATTCAACGACTTCGTGTACTGCATGAATGGCGGTTATTTGGATGACAGAGCTCCACAGCTCCTGTAACGTTTCACACAAACTCCTACCTTCCCATGAAGGTAAGCGATTATACGTCCTACACTTCATTACCAACTATGTCCGAACTTGCTGCGTGTTAGCTAACAAGTCAGTTGAAGTATATAGTTTACCCAAATATCCACTGAATTGTGATTCCAGTAATATTCGATGTAAGCCCATCAGCTGACCATCCTTGTATCCCTCGAATCCAGTCTCCCTGCTTAGTACCATGAAACACTTGGTAGATCATAATTTTCATTTTAGATTTAGACATCTTAATCAAAATGCTTTTGGTTGATCGGCATACAATCGAACACTATATTGTTAGGTCAGACAGTACTCAAGGAACGTGTTTATTCACTGTTGCTTGTCCGTATAGGTTAGGCCCGGTTATCCGGTGCCTGAACGGTACTACCTCGTCCTCTGCCTCTCACCGTCTACGCTCTACGGTGTGGTTAATGTGCAGGTCACCGATTATGCGAGGCACCCTCTCACAGCATATTTTGTTGGCTGACTTGTCCTTTTCATACGACTTTACATTCAGTCAATACACTGTCCCGTGAGGTGCAGTCTTGTTCTGACGGCTATACGTCTCATTAACCACGATCATAAGAGTATAATAACTGATAATACTTCGTCTATGCTTTTTTGTTTCAAACAAGTGCTATGTTGCCCATGCAGCGATAAAACGTTTTTGATTTATTATCTCCCTTAAGGTGTATCTCGTGAAGCTTAAAGTTAAACTTTGTACATTAATAGTTGGAAAATAGAGATTCTACGGCTTAACATAACTTCCGTCTTAGTCGTTCCCTCAAGATTTTTAGATTTGCCGAATGTTAACCAGCAAACTTATTTTTTCAATGCAAAATCCCTGGAAACTGGGAAGGTTTTATTGCTTGAGGTAATGTGTCCCATACTACATATACCAGGAAGAGAACCAATAACAGAGTGTAACTCTAATATAAACAAGAGCAATTAACAAATGTATTTCAAATTCCATCATATCAGGTATAATATACACATGCGATAATATTCCGTGGAGAATCCCTGATTCGAATAGGTGCACATCATTTTCCGCCCATCAAATATTCAAGTGCAGAATACACAGGTCGCAAGCGAGTCGGAGCCGACAGTAGCATTTAGCGCGATTTTACGCCACTGTTATGGGCACCTATTTTAATATATTTGTTCGCAATAAATCAGAGTGACATTAATCAACTGAGGCAATATCTATGCACAGTATCTACTCAGACTGACAGTGCCCACTGAGAGTAATCTCCGGGAAAACAAATTTGTGAGCCCTTGTAGAATGGTTTATCAGACTGGTATAGGATCTTCAAATAGACACAATCAAATTTGCGTGCTGTTTTTGGTTAAACTGTTAACTAACTTAGTAAACCATTATCCGTTACATTATGTGACATACCTAACAATGCATAAACAGCAATTCTTTAACATACGGGGATTTAGCAAAAGTACAGACAATAAACCATTTTTGACAAATGGATAGAATTGACGAACAAATTGAGTACAAGCAAGTACACGGTCTACAGATCAAATTAATGGATAATATAGGTGAGACAGTAGGGAAGCATAACAGACGCAAAACAAAGAGGATAGTAAAGTAAAAAACATAAGGTGATGTAATCCGTGGAACCGTCCTTTTAAGATCCGCTTCCAGGCGGAGTAGTCCCTGTAGAGGTTTCACCCCCGTTTCCAACCCCCATCTGGTTGTGTGATAGTATGGCGTAAAGTAGGTTAGCTAACATCGATTTCCCTTAATCGTTTTCATTAGCTGGTCACTAAAGCCAGTCGCCCCATTCGCCAAGCTTTGCTTTCGGTTGGCATGATAGCCGAATTCACTTAATTTGGAGGTATATGCCAATAAGTTGTTACCAACAGTTCACAGTGTACTGTTGTCTTTGCATTTTCTATAGGATTAGAACTTTTTAATTTTCACCGGTCCAGTCGTGGCCAACACGGTCAAACAAAGCAAAAGAATAAAAGGGGATAATATAAGAATATGGTAAAATTATGCGAGAATTAAACTAATACCGTGTTTCGCGGCATTGCAGGAGATCCTGCTATCGGTTTATGTGCTAAATGTTTACATGAGTTGGGAGAAACAGGTTGCTCTTCAAGTTATTACTAAACATGACCGTTTACAAGTAAAGATTAACATCGATCGAACCGACGTTAGAGAATCGGAGGGTCTGATATTTTCAGTGCTTTGGAAATTGCTGGTTTGTTCGATGCAGTTCCATTTGAAAGGTAGTTCCAATGGGGATTCGTAACATGAGGTTAACGATAATAGACTCAAAATAGGGCCCGAATGATGTTCACTGTGAAAGCTGTAGTACTTCTCCGAATAGGCACATCAAAGAAGATAACAGTATTGGTTAGATGAGAGTAGATAAATATCATATTGGTGACAGGGGAACCAATCATTGGCAGAAATAAGATCATCTGTATATACGTACAAAGGAATTCATCTAATCCTAGGTAAAACTATAGTAGCCGGGGGTGGTTTATGAAATATGATAGTTTTGCAACTGGGATCATGAGGAACGGCGAAAACGTCAACTATCGGTTCTCGCATACACAGAAAAGAGTAACTGTAGGTGAAACCTTCTGCTCTGTCTTCCAAACAAACTAGTGCAAGCTACCAGCATACTTAGAACAAGCGAACGTTTGCTTTTGGTTGCATTCACTGTTCAACCAATTTCATCTACTTTTGGATTTCACACGCAGGTATCCGGTTTGAAACTCACAAGCTAAGCTCCAAGTTTTACTGAAATTTCCCTCTACGTAGACCAGTTATGCCAACATAATGACCCCTAAGGAGTCACACCGGTCATAATTGTGGCAGACGACAAATAACTCATGTCTTCTATGTGTATAAATACATATGTATGTAAGCATAACAGATTAGTCTGTACGGTACTGATGCAAAGTACCGCATGTGACATGCTGTTTTTCAGTTTGACATGAAGGAACTTAACATCCGCGAAGAGCGCCAATCTTACGGCTGGGTATACTGTTCCTTTACCAAAGAAAATCGCGCATGTGTATCATAAGATGCAGTCTAAATTTTCAGCCCGATACAAACAATAGTCGTGCATCAGTTCTTTCAGTAAGACCAAAAAATAAGTCGTGTTCCGAAAAGTCTTGCTAACTTTCAACGCTACACCCCACGACAGCTTGAATCCTTATTTAACCCCTTTATGTACAGCCAACCACGTGTGCCCCAATCCATAGGAGTAGTCTTGTATCATTTTGATGATGAGCGTTAGTTGTCTTAAGTTCCACCGAGGACTGGGGCGCGAGTACCAGGAAAAACGTGTTCACTGGGACTGAGTGATCTGCTGCAGTGCAGATACACTAATTACTTCGCATGAAGCTTAGAAAGATTGCAACTAAAGCGCAGCTCCTTAGCTACAATGGAATTTAATGGTATATTTCTGCATCAAAAAGAATTATTTGTACACACTATTTATGATATTAGCTCGAAATCGTGACGTTTGATAACGGGACGATTGCGGTCACATATTCTGACTCAGGTATGCAATGTTGGGCACAGACAGCAGCGGTATTCATATGTTTGTTGAGTTAATATTACCTTAGTGCTTGATCAGGTAGGAACGCTCTGGTTTTTCTTGAAGCAACAAAGAGATGCTGGAAAAATCTAGGCTAAATACCCGACAAGCTTTCTCTGTGCATAGGAGCTAGTTTGGTCATGTTATTTGTACAGAATTTCCCCAGTTAACTTGAATTTCACCCAACACGGCAAGATACAGTGCACGCACAGTCTATTTATTATCTGCTATGTTCCGGTGGACAGATGCTCATTTTTTATGTGCATTTCTCGGTTTTTCAGAGGAAGTCATTCTTGCCGAGGCTACCACCACAGCTGAAGAAAGATTGCGGATAATTTCAGGTAATCTTTTCCACAGTTATTCATCTGGACTTCCGAAAACCACTTCGATGATAATGCATAAATTGCTCGAATTCTTTCTTATCTGACACCGAACGCAAAGTATAAAGTTCGAAGAGTTCGAAGTCATTAAATTATAACTATGATTTCAGCTGTAAGCAGTATGTGCATTTTGCTGACGGTTAATCAGAGTTAGGGGACACGAACTTGCAGTTGATAGCTCATTCGATGCTAAGTGATTTACTATGTTTTTAGGCTCCGAAAGCGCCCTATGCTGAGGCTGATGTTGCATTCTTGTTGCTTCTTCACCGCAGTTGGGCTAAACCAACTTACACATAAACTAGGTATTTTAAACTGGATAAATTGCATTCCACTTTATTTTGTTTGTTCTGCCCACCAGACTAATCCTCTATTAACTGGCCATGTTGCTTACGCTATTTTTGGTCATCTTCGTTAACTGTATTGCGTTAATAACATTCATGGGTAAATTCTGGGCATTTTGTACTTATTACGGATTCGTTGCTAAACAACTTAGTTCATATGCCAATTTAGAGAAGAGTTTCGTCTGCATAGCGACATTCTTTAACAGATATATTTTATTTGGTCCTGTCATTTAAAGTAAATGGCTGTTGTTTGACATCCTCGGTATAGTTGCGCTTGGTGTGCATCTTGACAAGATGAGTACCTGCCTATTCCCCTCTACTTCGTCCATGCTGGCTCCAGCAGACAGTTGGACGTTGCTGGAGGGGACGGGGTGCACGGTTCTTGTGGCCGTGCTAGGCTCAAAGAGCGGTTCCATGCAATCATTGTGGAGCGAACTACGGTCCAACCACCGTCTTGTGTGCGATTGAATCCCAACTACAGCGTGCTTGTGTTTGCCTGTGAAGGAGCGTGGGCGGGCTCCCTTGACAACAAGTGGCTCCCATCCACATGCCTTCCGGCCGCATTCCTTCGGGTTTACACTGGATATGGGTTGTGTGGTTGGAGCTGTGGGTGGTGCAGCGCAAGCCGCCCATGGTCCCTTTGTAGGCGCAGGCTTTCTGTGGCTAACCTAAGTGACAGGCAAATCCGAAATCAGATGCGGCCAACCATGCTCCAAAAACTCGCCAGTGCCTCCAGCTACGGTAATTACGATATATTAAACGCCTTCTTGGATTTTCAGATTATTCTTAGAGTAGAAGTGTTGAGGGCCGAGCGGCGCAACATAGCCGCTATGTAATTCACAGGACCACATCTGGGAATCTACTACAATAACCTTACTGTGCTACGATAGACTTGACTCAGGTTGTTACGATTACACAGGTTCTTCCGTCCAAGTACCCACTAATCCGATGTTTCCACTTTGCTGGCGAAATCAGTGATTGGTGCTCTGTTTTCTAACAATCGCACTAGCCTGTGGCAAGTGAAGTGCTGCTCATGCTTCAATCCCTGATCCGAACTGCCTTTAATTTAACTTTACCAATGCTACTGATGTGTATCGTTTTGCAGTAGAATGATAGAAGTGTCAAAATGGTCAGCGAATAGTCGACATGTCAGTTCTTGAGGTAGACTTGCAAAGCTTCATCAACTCAGGCGTCCGTAGCATAGCTGAATTGAAGACAGTTAGATTAGAGAGTATACAAGCCATAGTATCAGCCGTCGGACCCATTCTGTCAGAAAACGTAAAACTAAAGGATTGGATTTAGATTGTGGCTCTTCGTGATAAGTTTTAGTTTTACTTGGTTTGTGGAAGCCAAATCAAAAGCTCTGCTGCGTATTAGAAATAGAAGCAAATGCTCCAGAATCAAGTATAGATATCTGTCGCTGGTTCTCATATGCGAAGAAAGGGAACGCAAAACAGTACAATCCGACGTGAGGTGAACAGGGTTTTACTAATTCGAGAAAAATTTGAGGAAGATTTATGTTGCTGTCCTCTCGATAACTAACTTCAAGTAAGCTTGTTGTGTAAGAAACCATATGAGCAAAATCAAACTTCTTTTATAAAATAAAACCCAACTTGGATGAAAAAATATTTAAAAAAGGCAAAGGTTTCCGTCAATTAGAGTGTAAATCGTCTTCATTGGGACAGGTACATATAGAGCTTACGCATGAGTAAAAGACTTCTGATCCAATTCTAGGATGCTTCATCGAAGCAGCTGTGTAACCAGTTGGTCATTCACATACCCGAAAAAGCACTTTATGACTTTTCGACTTCACTAGTTGATCGCTTCTCCGAGCTTGAGCAAATGATTGCATACGTTTCACCACCATGCGAGGTAGCATCTTCAATGCGGGGACATGCAGTGTACAATCCTGCCTATTGAAGCGTCAGTTCGTGCTCGACGAACAGGTGACTTTTATAAGTGGTATTTCGATTCGCGCCTCGTGATCTCTGCTCATTTTCTTCCGGGGCTGAACCATGTCTTTCGAATCGTCGGAGATCTTTCTTTCTGAGATGTCCACGCGCATGTTTATCGAATTAGTAGAGGACTACCACGCTTCCTCAAGCTCGGCGAAGCGATCAGCAGGTGAGCAACCAACCCGGGCTACCAGTGTTCCAAATTATTTCGAACGTTTTCGACCTGTTGTGTCTCCTCAGTAGTTGCATCCACCCTCTTCATCAGGATGCGAACCCATTGTTACTGACGGCTTGAGCCTTCTGCTAACAGCTTACGCCACTGATCCATGTGGTGAAGCGGTGGATCGTTGCGCTAACTTGTTGCCTCTAATGATCATGAATTCGAATCGTAGTAAAACCGATGGATGCGCCGTACGGACGACATGCAACAGGTGAGCAATCCAGCTAGTGATTTTCCGGAGATTTAGAGAAGAATCTCATTTGGAAGTTGCTACGATGAACTCTCAAGCAGACACGGCCAACAACCGATTGAAAAAGCGCCAGCATCAGTGTGGACTTCTATCCGCTTTCACGAAAAACAGCTCTTGCACGTCAATCATCTCATCAAACAACTCGCCAAATTTAAAAGGAAAAACTTACGAAACTTGAATTAACAAATGCGTATGCTATAAGAGATGCCTCAAAATAAATGGCAAATCATAAGCATGCTAGAGGTGTGTTTGCAATTACAAATATTTTCATGTGTATGTTCGGATTAGAGCAGCAATGTAAGCTTATGCCCTTCCTCATCACCGTCTATAAATTGGCAGAAAAGGGGACAAATTTACCGGCTGTTGCGTGAGGACCTACGATGTCTAGTAGTTTGAACAGATTTTTCTCAATGGTAATGGAATTTAAGCCATGTTGCATAGTGACATTCTTCAGAAGGCTGATCAGTCGATTGAAAATGAGAAAAAAATGAGGTATAACTTACTTAGAACTGATCTAGCCCGGTGCTTTCTGATTACACCACTAATGCTCCTATCCAGGTAACCTGAGATCAGCATGGCTCTTAATCAATTTGGCTCAACTGTGTGCAAATATCATTCAAGAGCTTGATCCCGTTACGTGCTATTCACAATATTTCATACTCTGAGATGGTGGAATCTGGTTTCAATTACTATGCAACCGTAGACACACCTGCTAACGTGCTCATTTCCGTTATGATTGAGCAGATAAAATTCATTTTTCTATATGATCAGCAGGTATAAGAAATTCTTTGCAAGCAACAGCGGTTCTGTTTTATTCAAGTCCAGTATACACATAAATAAATATTTAACGTCTAACTATGGCTAAAGTCTTTTTCTCCTTATTACACATCAGCTCGGCAGCGGGCGGAGAAACAACGCGGAAAGAATCTGAGCAAACAACTCAGCCAGTCGGAAAGCAACTTCGAGGATGACATGTTGTATGTGGAATCTAAAGGTAATGTTTTCATCTGTGTTTGTTCAGTAACCGAAATATTCTAGTCAAATGTACCGGAAGTTTTGCTTAAATGTCCATTTTGTCAAACAGTAGACTTAATGAATGCGACCGTGTGAAATCGAACGGGTCAACATAACTGTGATAAGAAACTGTTCCATTGCTAATGAACGAATGAGTTGTAAAAATAAGTTTAATATTGCGTACCATTTTATACCGAAGTAGAATGTAATCTCCTACGCTGCTTACATTACCAGGTTCAACCTAACGGCTTCACTTTTGAGTAATTCATGCATCGGCAGCAGGTGGACATTAACGGAGCTTAGATCCTATGAATGTTAATTTCGCACGTTGGTGAACGCTGATAGAAAGCAAGACCCAGTATTGCGTTTTGCTTTCTACCAGCTACTGCTACTTAACTGCTATCAATCCCGCACTGAAGATGCCACCTCGAATGGTGGCGAAAAGTTTGCAACCAAGTTGCCCAGCTAGGAGAACTCCACAACAACTGAGTTGGTGTACGCTTTTAGACAATGTGAAGTGTGTGTATGTAGGGTCAAGTATAGGGATCCTCAATACTAGTTCACCTTCAAATTACGAAGCGTTATTTCCCCCCGCAGCCCAAATGCAAACAGTGTGGCTTACCCTTAGTACCTACTCGGACATTAATCCATGATCTGAGGTGGAAATAACTTTAATCAGTGCTGTGATAATATATGGTGATGTGGTGATCTTGATATCTTGATTGGTTTGTGTGTTTACACCGTCGGGTACTGAAGTGCACCTCCCATTAAGTTCAGCCAGACACAAGAGGGATTTATTTACAAAAGATTCTTTGATTTAGAGGTGTAGCATACGGGGGCCAGGGGGGTTGTCTGCCCAGGGCAGGAAATGTTTGCAATGCTGGTGCAAAGTTGAGCGTGAAGTTGAAGAATTGGAAATGCAACTACACTTTGGCAAGATAACACGCACATCAACCGATTTTATTGGATGCCTGCCATTGGCCTGTTAAGATTGCGCAAGAACTTCTCACTATATTTGTACGAGCGGATCTACTGTTGGACAGCACGTTGCTCATGAATTCAATAAATGGTGGCAACTAGAATTAATGCAAAGGTGTCTCTGAAGTTTCCGGCGAATTGTTTTTTCGGAATTTGAGAAACGGTGATCGAAGGTTGCGAACGCGAATGACCTTGTAACGTTTATACAGCGGAATATTTCCAACTGGATATTATAGTTTTAGACTGATGAGGGTTCCAAAAACTGGCGGAAACTAAATCCCAAAGCATGTGAACACGAACCTGGTATATCGCGTGCTCAGTCAACCCAAAACCGCACGGAGCTATCGATCCAGCTAGTCGAAAGAAAGGCAATTGAAAGAATGGAGCTATCACTTGCAGAAAAGGGATAGCGTGAAATCTCAGCCAGAACATCTGATATTGTCAGGTTGCTCGCCAAGCAAAGGATGTCCATGTATGGTCGCCGAGATTACACACAGGATGACAAGTAATGCCAGAAAAATAGACGAGACTTTATGGAATTTGTACCTAGCAAGTATGAAACTGTTATTCTTCAATGTTTGATGACGGTTCGGCTGAGAGGAAAATCAGCACGTTTTATTTGTTGTTAAACGTGAAAAATGCATTAGTGAGCATTTTGTAAACAAAGTGATGAAGAAAGTCATGGCTAAGAATAAAGAAAACAATTAGGTTTGCTTACTTTCGTTAGCACCCTGACGTATCTCACAAAAACAATATGAGTGAGGTGATGTACTGATTAGAAGTTTATGAAACTGAAGTGACGGTAGCGGAGTCGTTTCTCAGCTTCATTGAGACCAAGGGCAAAAATGCAGAGGCAATTTTTGAACTGGTTTAAAAAAACTGGAGTAGCATGGAATTCAGATTAATGACTGTCGTGGCCAAGCATTCGACGTTACTGCTCTCATGGC